CCAGCAAAGAGTCAAAGTACAGAGTGTTCTGGCCGAGCCCATGCTTATATAGGCTGGCTTGAGTCGTGTAGGTAGGTTGGCCATTGAGTCGTCTGCACTTGCATTTGGTATTTCATTAATTCTTAGCTCGGCTAACTCTTTTTGTCTACTTCAGATATAGCGAGCATGGCTTCAAGGAAGAAAAGAAGGGCGGACCACCACTCTTTGATGGAGGACCTCGGCCAACGCTAAGGAGAGGTCGCCACACTTCGCTCCTCCTACCATCGACCTTGAGGGAGACAGTGAGCCAATGAGTAGGGATCAGTACTCAACTGGTCCTTCTACCTTTCAACCTCAGGTTGGCCAAGAGGAACGTGACGCCACCCCTTATGTCTTAGACATTCCTCGCTTTGTTCCCAATGTCGACATCTCTGTACTTGATCGCGTAACCGATCCTCGCATAGCTCTATGGATGGCTAGGGAAATGCTACCCCTGGAGGATGTGTAGTTCTTCCATAGCCTGGACCTAGTCGAAGCCGGGGCCCAATTTACCCATCACATTGTGCAGGTTTGTTTCTTTGCAGAGTTTTGCTTTTCGGTTCTACGAATTTCTGTTCTGGTTATGCTCTTTTTCTTTTGGCAGGCGAACACCATCGGGCAGATCTTTTTGGACTAGGTTCATTCGGTTCAGAAGGAGAGGGGCGAGCTACAGGTAAGCATAAATGCACTGCAGGCCCAAATGATGAAGGTCCAACTTAGTTCGAAGGAGGGTATGAGTTGAACCAGAAAAATTAGCACGCGTTGACCGAGGCTCAACGCGATCTGTCTGAGGCTCAAGACACTATTTCTGCCCAAGCACGCCAACTGGAGGAAAGGCGATTGAAATATACTCAAGATATCCACCGATCTGAGGAGGCAGTCATCGCCCGTTTCTTGAAGTCCCTTGAATATGAGAAGAAGAAAGCGGAGGACACCCTTCCTTCGATGAAGAAGGGCTTTAAACTTTGTCGCCGCTATTTGAAGATGCTACATCATACCTTCAACTTCACCTCTCTCTCTGTAAACAATGTACCGGATGAGCTCTCTACACAGGTTGATGGGGAGCCTTTGACTTCTGGACGAGCAGGAAGACGGCGAGGAGGACGATGGTGTTGACGACGAGATGTAGGGCGGCGAGGAGGATGGTGGTGCTGACGATGAGATGTAGGAAGACGACGAGCAAGAAGCCTTTGACTCTGGTGGTTTTGTTTCCCTAATGATTCTGGGAGCCTGTGCACTTCTGTAAGTTGTTTCCTTGGGCCTGCGTGCCCGTTATCTCTTAACTTATTGACACTAAGTTTTTTTTTCTACATACATGTACGGCCTTAGGCCTTTTTTCTGATTAGTGAAACTTAGATTTTCGTATCTAGTGCTCTCTTTTTGGATGGGATTCTTTCCTATTTCTACGCAATTTGGCTCCTCCCTCGTGTCAGGTACTCGAACGTTGATTTGGAAGTTTCCTTGTCAGGGTCGAGCTATGCCGGGCCAAGCTAGAAATGGTCGAGCTGATGTAATTCTACAGGAGAGAATGTTAGAGTGCTTGTGTTGTCTCTACCCGGGGAGGGCACTCCGATGCTTAAGTCTGATGATGTCTTGAGAGTTCTTTGAGAGTAGTGAGAGAGCTTGTGAGTGTATAATTGTGCATACCTTCTCAGGTAGAAATGAGTGCTTTATATAGGTTTTGATGGTCAGAGCCCTTCACTACGGGTCTCACCTTCTCATGGAGCTATTTCCGCTTAGTCAAGCGCATTAATATGTCAGTTACGAGATTTGCGCAGAGGTTACGCTCTGCCCGAATAACTCTAAGGCGTGTGACACAGTAGGCCAGTCTAACGGTTGAGGTATTAGCGTCCCAGAGATCTCAGGCTGGAAACGCGTTATCGGTCCAAGTCAGCGGGCTCTCCTCGCAGGTCGTTGTGGATTCCTACAACTCAGTTGACCTCTGAGACAGCTTGTAGCAAGTTAGGGAGCCTGTCAATTAAGCTCGATCGAGGTGGAGATTGTTTTAGGCAAGGTGCTCTAGACTGATTTGCGGAGCTAACTTGCTTACTCAGTGTTGAGGTGTCATTCAAAGGCCATGTGTTGCGAAATGATTAGGAGGACCAAATTACCCCTCATCAATTTGTTATATTTATAGAAATTGAAAAAATCCTATTGAAAATTTTCAAATTTTATAACAGATTGATACAATTTGCTAAAAAGTTAAAAAGGAAGTGGGTTTTCCTTTGTTCCTTTGGCTCAGTTTGGACGGGGTACAAATACAAATTTGTAGAGTACAAAACCTTGAATTTTGTATTATTTTGTATGTATTTGGAATGTACATATTTGTATTTGTACTCTTTCCAAACTGAGCTTTTGTTTCATTTCATCATCTTATAGTCTATGCCTTATTCTGACCAGGTTGCACCTGTTGGTTGTCTACATCAAAGTTTTAAAAACCGAATCGGACATGAAGCCGTTTTGGCCACCAGTTACCAAGTTAAACAATTCGACTATCCAGTTTGGTATGATTTTTAAAATCATCATCTTCATGAATCCTGTTTCACCATTTAAACTCGCTTTGGAAAGAGTACAAATGCAAATATAAATGCAAATATGTAGAATGCAAAACCTTAAATTTTGTATTATTTTGTATATATTTGCATTTGTACTCTTTCCAAACGGAATCTTACGCTCAAATTGAAAAGAATACAAATGCAAATATATACGGTATAAATAAATAAATATATATATAATAATATAAAACATAAGGTTTTACACTCTATATGTTTACATTTATACTCCTTCCAAACTGAGTGTTAGTGTCATATCCAATTATTAAATTATGGTACTTACTACTTCCTCTGCAATCTAAATTTGATATGCTTACTTTTCTGTGAGACCAGGTACCTGCTAACTTGGTCCGGAATTGATCCAATTTTTTGTTATTGGGCATAATTTTATGGACCCAAGTTGGATCCGGTCATGATCGTCTCCAGATTTGTTAATGGACCCACGCCTTGTTAATTAATCCGGGCGAGGTATGCTGAGTAGTCAAGCATAGTTGTTATTTTATCTAATTCAAAATTTGGTGCCTTTGGTGTTCTTACTTGCTAGGTGTGATTTGACTAATGAATCGCTAATTAATTAGGCTTTCAAGGAAAATGGGATGTGTCTTTATGTCATTGGGTTAGGTTTAAGCTGCCTAGTGAGAAGTCAGACAATGTTGGTCTGGTCTCAGCATGGGAGAGGCTAGCTTAAGGAGGCTGGTTTGAAGTTGAAATTTAAATCTGAGAAGTTGTTGGAAGCAAAGAGTGTTTTAAAGAAGGGTAGCTGTCGAAGGGCGGAGGTAGATGGGCTGAAAAAATCTTTCGTACTTGTTAAATTTGCAGGGAGATATTCTAAATGCATGGGTGATTTGTTTGCTTTAAAGAAATCCCATTCATCTCTTCCAATCCCTAACCTCCAATTTGTGGTCGGTAAACAAAAGCCTAATGGAAGAAAAAACTCTACCAATTCATTAACATCTTCCCATGATCAATGTACAAACTCAATGATTGATTGCTTGAACTGGCAATTCAATGAGTTGGTGAGAGAGGGGACGAGGTGCAGGGGAAATTGGGAGAGGTATCGCCATTTATTTGATCTCGTCTCGTTTATAGATTAAGTTGAGCCAATCGAGCTCTCTATTTAGTTTGATTTCACGTGTGTTCTTTGTACTTACGTTTTAGAGAGGTCCATATGTCAGGCAAATCACATGAACTCTCTATAAAACATGCCCCACAAGTCTATTGGGAACACCTTTCTCCTGTCAATTTTGGCTTTCTGTTGTTGGTGTTATTGAAACTTGTGCCGTTCATGTGAAATTTCTTTTTTCTCTTAAAATATTTAAGAAAGTTATTTAATTATAAAAAAAGGATAAAATACTTCAATTATGATTTGCTCATTTGCTCATATTCTTATTCTTGCAACAAATATATAATAATTGTATATTTTGTGGGGAGGGCCCCACTAAATCATCTCTCTAATGACAAAAGTAATTAGCCTTGTGATGAAGAATGTATATAGGCAGTGCAGTGGTAGTTTGGTCAATTATAATTGAATATTGGGGAATCGACAAAAATCATTTCTTTAACATAGGGTGCAACGATTGATTGAAAATAGAAATTGGCAGAGTTTCCGTAAGAAGAAAGACTTTTAATTCGTAATCTGTGTTGTTGTTCTCTTCTCCATCTTATTATTTTCGTTGCCTTCACAAACAGCCTATGATCAAGATATAAACTTTTTGTGTTATATATAACAAGCTGTCAACCCATATGCTATTTTCAATCAATCTTAATCTAGCACAGTACCACATATTCAAATAAATAGGTAGTGATCACCCCTTTAACATACCAGCTCTGTTTATAATTAAATCGTATAGCCGTATCCAAGCTGTTTTGACCATAATAATTTTACTAAGGTCGTTAAGGGTTGGACCACCTTCCTTTGGACGATTAAGTGGTGCTCATTCATTCAAATCTGCAATTTGCAAGCAAGATTTATCAGGGTATGTAGGTCCGTCTTCCAAATTTCAATTTCAGTGCCCAGTGGGTGTGGGTGGACCTCCAGCCTTCTCCTTGTTTGTGTCAATGCGAGATAGCTAGCTACCAAAACCAAAGTGGCCTCACCACACTTGTATCTAATTAAACCCCAACAACCATATGAACCATCCTCATCCTCTCCTTTATATTTTAATTATTTTGCGCGCCTCTCTTCTTAAATCTTTGTGCTCCATCCAACAAACACACGTACAGTATATATAAGAAGTAGCCATACATAATAATTAATTAAACCTTGATAATTCCATCACCAATTCACCATCCCAGTATTAAGAATAGAATAGCGTTCCTAGCACCAATATTTTCTTGCAAATTTTAACTGTATATTACAGCAGTTAGAAAATAATATATATTATATATTTACTAGGTCAAAGTGAATATGCATTAGGAAGACCATCCAACTGTAGCAAAAACTGAAGAATCTTCTCAAAAACTGGAGACATGATGACTTAAAACCAGAACAAGCAGAATAACCAGGGGAGAGGGAAAGGAGAAGCAGCAAACAATAAACAGTTAAACACAAACTACGTAACGTACGCACAAATTTTAATTTACATCTTCGGCAAGGATGGATGAGATGATCAACTTAAGTACGCCTGGGGCGCACTTTAACCGTCAGAGGTTTTGCCATCTCGCATGACAACCTCAATACCTCTGACAGATCAATCGGATTTTGATCCGATGCTACCCACTCCAACTCGTGCAACAATGATGCCACCCAGAACGTCGCAGTGGTCAACCCCAAAGTTTTACCCGGGCAGCTCCTCCTACCCGCCCCGAATGGAGCGAGTCTAACATCCGATCCCATTATAGAGAACTCCACGTCAGCTTCCCCAGACACGAACCTCTCGGGCATAAACTTCGACGGCTCTGACCACACCTGTGGGTCCCGGGTGATAGCCCACATGTTCACCATGGCTGTTGTTCCGGCGGGCACGTGTTTAGCATCAACTGTCGTGTCTGTGATCGCCAGCCGGGACCATGACAGAAGTGGGCCGGGGGGGTGTAGCCTGAGAACCTCCTTCACCACCGCCGGCAAGTACACCATCGCTTCAATGTCTGACTCCCTAACAGGCCGTGATTTTCCGACAACTTCGTCAAGCTCTTGGTGGACCTTCGATTGAATGTCAGGATGGAGAACCATCCTCGCCAATATCCATTCCATCAACACAGCTACCGTATCTGTTCCTCTAAATATCATCTCCTGTTGCAGAATAACAAAATTGATTTTTAAAGCTAACACGTACTAATCATTCTCTTTATGTATTTTACTAAAAAATTAAAATCCGAGAGAAGTAGGACTGTAGTATGGAGTATCTGCCGAGTTGCTCACCCAAAGAACGGCGACCATATCAGGGTCTGATAACTTTTCGGTTCCTTGAAGAGAGAGCAAAACGTCCACGAAATCCCTGTTTCTGTCTCTGGTTTGAGCTCTGTGCTCGGAGAGGATCCGGTTGAGGAAGCGGTTCACTTGGGGAACAAGTTTGGAGCATCTGAATCGGATCCTTTGAACATCGAATCCCGCCAGCCAAGGGAGGTGGTCGGACCAATTGAGCTTCCCCAACAGTTGGTACCCTTCTTCCACAAGTTTGCTTAGTTGGTCTGTTTCTTCACTCGATGATTCCAGCGCGTATAGGCGTCCAAATACGGAGCACATCATGTTGTTCAGCGAAGCGCGTTTCAGAATGTCCCGAACACGTATTTCTTCCTTACGACCCGCAAACATTGATACCATCTGACTGGCGATTCGGAACCTCTGCTCTTCCGACGCGTTGATTTGTTTTGGGCAGAAAAGATGGGTGGCAGCGATTTTTCGAAGCGTTCTCCAGTAAACGCCGTAAGGAGCGAATCCGATGGCTCGATTGAACATCAGACTGTAAGCTGACTCCTTCACAGGACGATCAGCAAAGACAGAGCTGTTCAAGATCTCTTTCGCTATATTGGGGTTACAAGTGACGACGACACGAGTCTCTCCGAGACTGAAAGCCATGAGCCGACTGGCTCCGCACTGCTCCGCCGCAGCTGCCTGCCGGCGGTGCGCGAGGCCAGTCATAAGATTCATGCTTCCAAACACAGGGAATCCTCTCGGCCCTGGTATTGGCTTGGCTCTGGTTCCTTTCTTCCACCAGTACCTTCCCCAGGCGGGTCCACCTGGGTAAGCCCAGTAAAGAAAAACCACTGTTAAACAAGCTAAACCCAGGAGGAGTAAAGAGGAGAGGAGATTAGTGGAGGAGAAAGCACTGCATTTTGAAGCGAGAGCAAAAACCCAGAAGCGCTCTATTTTTGTTTCCATAGCTGGCGGGGGCGGGCCAATTTTGGTTTGGATCCAGAGGGAAAGGAAAGGGTTGGCTTTATATAAGAGAAAGGAATAACGGTTGAACAGAGGAAATGGTTATGGACCGTATATTATATATAAAAAGAAAAGAAGCGCCGCCATGTGCGTATGTATACTACTAACTAGCACAAGTAAGAAGTAAGAACACATTTGCGACCGCAAGTGCGTGCCTCTAAGATATTTACACGTGCCGGTTAAATGGCACGATTCTGTCGGATGGAATGTAAAGGTTGCGACTGTGATATGATAATATCCATGCCATGCATGCATGCATTTCTGGCTGTTGCCTCTTTCGGGTGCAGACGATGAGATGAGACTTGAGATTGAGATAGAGATTTGAGAGAGCCAACCAAAATAAAATAAATCTTCCGGGTCAAGATCTGGTCTGGTCTACTCTTATTAAGCGGGAAGCCGGGAAACATATGCAATACGATACGAGGGCGGTGGACCGGTGGTTGTGTTATTGTTGTTGTAAAATGACAAAAACACCCTATCAAAAGAGTAGGCCACAGGTCTGCCCTTTAGTGGACAATGGTATCTGCTACAAATAAGGCGTATATAAGTAAGTATGCAACGATAACAAGTGAAGTGTTGATGACATAATGACATTTGTGTCGATAGCCGCCACGTGTCCATGCATGCAATGTTTATGATCCCCATCCCTACAACTCCTGCTTCGCACATCGAAGCTTCCGGTGGTTACTACATCTTGGTACACACGCGTCGTAGAAGGAGGTAAAAATGAAAAGCAGCGTCATCAACGGTGACAGGCAAGTCGAAATGTAGAATCAACTCCCGTCCCGGTCCACGGGTCTAGCCTTCAACGGCGCAGGAGAGGGTAGCGTGAGGAATAATGTATTTATATTAGATAATGTTATGTAAAAATGAAAAAAAAAAAAAAGAAAGATTGGTAGTCACATACACTTGAACAACCCAGTTATGTCATTTATAATTAGTTATTTTTTGTATTAAATAATTAACGTAATTAAGTTCATCTAATTAGCTAAGAGGGCTTGTGATTTAAGCAATCTTAGATAGAGTAATAATCAGCCTTGTTGTTGGACTTGTATTGTTCAAACAGTTGAAGTCACACTAACCTTAAATACCGGGCTTACGGTCGGTTGTTTTGTTTATTTAGAGGAAGAAGGGAAAGGTGAGGTGCAAGAATTTTGAATCCTAAAAGCAAGTTCATATCTGACACATGCCCACTAAATATTATACAAAGCCACTCTACCTCATATAATTCACTGGTCTCCTGTGCAAGGAGAAGGAGAGCAACTACTTCTAAGCAATTTCTCTTGCTATTTTCAATTATGATGTGTTTGTTGATTGGTGCTTCATACAACCTTCACAGAATAGTCCAATTATGTAGAATATTATACCTATATTATATATAGATCTTAAACCCATTATCCTGTCTTTCAAAAGATCTTAAACCTTTCTGTCATGTCTAATAGACTAAGTAGTCTTTTCAGAGAGAGAGAGATGTCCGTCACTTCCTTGTATAAATCACCATTGGCTGTTCTAGCTTTGGGGAATCAAAATATTATTTATTCGCACAAGACTTGGTATCAGAAGTCGATCTAAACACCAAATCAAATAAGAGGATTGAGTGCAAGAAAACCCTTTTAGGGTCTCTCATATTTGAATTAATAAAACCCCTATTTTTTAGTGGAGGGGAAGAAAATGCCCTAAGCCCACTTGTATATAAACAATCTTAAAAACCCATTGGATTCTATCTGATACTTGTCTGTTAAAAAATTCCTTTCAAATTAATCCAAAGAATCTTGACCTCGTGAAAATTGAATCTTTGAATATGTTACACGAGTTAAATAGAACAGGTGGATGGTGTCGATTGGTGGGTTGAACAGGTGGCCAATCTAAACCCCTCCCCTACTTGCTGCACAGCTTGGATTACCCATCTCATTCTTTCACATGGCAAAAATATTGAAGGCGGTTTTGGGAGGATCCGATTTGCTAGTCCAGTACCAGTAGTGAAGCTCCGTAAATGACTAGGTTATCTTTTTTTATTTTTTATTTTTTTATCAAATTAGTTTGGAGTCAAGGACCTCCCTGGACATCATCTATATGATGGCAAGTGTTTTTTATTAAACAAAATGAATTTTAAATGATTAATATTAATTGGCATTCTAAAAAATACATTAAATCATGAGGAAGCTTTCTAAAAATATGACTAATATTAATCGGGAAGACCAGCAATACAAGGCAGGGTGTAGGGATGATGTGGCCTCGAGGATTAATCCAGACAGCTTCCTATTCGGTGGACAGTTTGAATCTAGAACATCAATAAAATCCTATTTAGGGACCTACCCAACAGCTTAAATTTTTATAGATTGAATTTTTTGTTCACATGATATGGTAGCCTGTTTGATCTAACTGGGTGGACCTGTGTTTGTCCACATTTCAAGCTCAATAGTTTAGAAAATACAAATCTATTCAGTATAATGAATGAGAATTTCAGATGGATTCACCTAATTTTGCCAGGTGAAAGGAGTTCTATAATTGGTCTAAACCCCCCATTAGATAATAAAAAAACAAAAAAAACCTAACTTCTCTCTGGGTCTGGGGCATATATTGACTCGAATACTAGGTGAGCAATTACATAGTGAATCCCACCCAAATTAGGTTTGTATCGTAGTACAACAGGAGTGGTTAATCGTACATCTTAAGAACCAAGCAAGCGTGGTTGTAAGACTAAGCCAAAAACTAGCCTAGTCAGATAATGTTATCCAACAAAGAGTTGTGTATCGCTTACGTGTGTTTAAACAGTCAGGTAGTGCTCAGAAAATTAAATTGTAAAATTCTGCTTGCGTAATTTGCCCATTGTTTTTGTTGTGCAAGAGGCAGTACGGTGCAATGCATATATAATGAATTTGGTGAAGACATGGACAACAATGTGTGGTACACTACTGCGGTACAATACTCAAGTTCCCTAGTTAGGGATGAAGCTTATGCTTATCGAATTATATATCGTACAAACATTTATATTAAAGTAGTACAAAGAGGGTGCCTCCATGAATAAGCACTATATTAAAGTAGATGAACCCAGTGGCTGTATATAGGGAGGTAGAACAAATGATAAAGGTATGACCCACAACCACTCACTCTCTCACTTGTCATTTATCTCTGGTGCTAAGCGTTTCATTTGCTCTTTCAGCTGCTCAAAACACTAATTTGGTCTTTTTGATGTTTGACAATGAAAACTAGAGATAAATCTGAAAAACCCATTCCCCTGAACTCTTGTGGAAGCTAAAACAACCCAAGTCGGGGGTCAGGTTGGGCCGCAAATCTAGCTAAGTCATATTTTATTAAAAATTTCATAAAAAACAATGAAAATTTTATTATAAATTAAAAAATAAAAAAGATTTTAAAATTTTATTTTATATGAATTTTGATGTATATAATATTGTTTATATATATAATAATAAAATTGAAAAATATAAATATATATAACCCACACAATTGTGCCATATTGTATCAGTCCATGAATCTGAAACCTCAGGCCCAACACAGCCCATACAATCACGACTATATCGTGCCTGACATAACCCACAATCCAACGTATTAAGTTAGCTCAAAATCATGCTGGGTCATACTGAGCCACAGACAGCACAGTCCGATTTACACCTATATCTTTGTAAAAACACAGATTTGTGTGTGTTTTGATCATTAGCTAAGACAGAATTAATATAATTAAGCAAATTGAAATCAGTTCCCATTGGGCAAATTGTCCGATCATGATTGTTCTGTTGCCCGTGCACTGTATATATATAATCCATAACCACCTCTATCATATCTTGGTCGATGGAATCCTATTTTTTGTTTAAAATGTGGTGAGATGGCAGCCAGACAAGTGGATATGGCAGTTTGATATATGTATATAAGCACCCAATGGCAACATAAAAATCCATGCATTCCTTTAACTACTGTTGCATGCATACAAATAGAATTAATACACAGGGTACAGCACTCAAAAGCATTTGCAAATCAAAATCCTGATAAGTGAGATGGCAGACTGGACAGTTGTCCCGCCCATTACTCCCTTCCCTCCTTCCATCCCTCTGACCCTCCCTGCATTCATTCTTTCATCAAATTAACCTTCCGTACGTTCCTTTCAAATCCTGGCTTTAAATGTGGTTATATATTATTATCCTTGGCCTAATTTTTTATTAGGTTGTTCGCAACTTGTTTAGAAATTTGATTAACTTATTGCAAGTTGATTAATAGCCTCATTGTAACATGTTAATTAGAGCATTTGGTGGACAGAAAAGATTCTTTGGCCAAGTACACAGCTGGCTGTGATACAGAAAAACTGCCCTCCCTGCTGGTGCAATACATCCACAGATATCTTCCTAGATTTTGTTTTGCGAAAAACGTGTTGCTTGCATTCGACCCATCAAATACAAATACAAGCAACCCAGAGAGGGGGGAGAGAGAGAGAAAGAGGAGATGCATTTGCTGTGCATTATTGATGATTGCTCTAAAATAATGTATAAATTTTAGGAAGATACCTGTTATTTTCTTCCATATTGACCTCTATGCGATGAATGGATATGATGGCCAATAATTCTAATCTGATTCTACTTCTATTTAGCTTTCCCAAACAGGTGACGATATATAATAATATAGTTGGTTAACATCTCTTAATCGAAGGAACTTTACCTAAACCTTATTGGCCAATAAGTCAATTAAAAAGGAATTGGTGATCAACCCAAAAGTCCTTGGCTTCTTGGATTGAATTCATTTTTAGCAACATTGTTTGGAGTTTGGACAGAGGAGTCTTACAAGATTGGCATTATGGCATAATTAATAATGTTCAAACGTTGGCATATTAGAGGAGATGCAAGGAAATGACACGAATTATTTGAAAATTTGAGTTAACAGCTTACATTAATTTGTATAACAAGAATAGTTGACTTGAGACAAGAGGACCATCCAATTGTTATTTATCTTGTAAGATCTTCTCAATTGATTTATATAGTTGGTTCAGCAGAATGCT